CCCCCCCCGCCCCCCCCCTCGAGGGGACTCTGAGGTTTTCCCTCTCGAATCCTGGCTTCCATTGTAGCCCCGAATGGAAATTGCGTCCTGGTGGAAATATCTCTTTTCAGAAGCCCGAGGTTCCCACTCGCTGAATAAAGTGCCCATTATCTTCTAAAACTCGAGTTCAGTGAATTCGCCTCGGCAACTTGAAACCCATGCATTTTGGGAAAATGTCAAACCTATTCAATACCTTGCAGTGAATGAAAAAAATACATGCACGGATCCAGGGCATGTCCTCCCTCCTCTGGTATCGACAGCCTTTCATTTCATCCACATCTGTGGTTATTGTAAACAGCAAGGCGCTGCTTTTGCTTGGCTACCAAACGCAGCATGAGAAACAACAGCTGCTGCTATTGCACAACCGAATAAAGGGGGAGAAAAAAGCGGAGAAAAAACCCACCTAAAAAACCCTAATTAGTCTTGCTTTAAAAAGCCTCGGACATAAAACCGAAAACCTCCCATAAAAAAGAAGAAGGGAGATCCAGTCCACGGACTTGAACACGGTCTGCTTATAAATATTCATTGGAGAATAAGATCACTTCTCCGCCAGTCCTGGGGGAACCCTGGCTGCTAATGACCGCTTGCAGCACATGTTAGTAATAACGGGCTTCCTATTCCAGAGACAAAATCAGGGCGCCGTGCCAACCTAGTGGCTCCAGTAACAAGCTCCATGGGCCATGGTGAGAGTCCGGCTTCATGGGGTCCTGCCGCCGTGGCGGGGTCGCTGGTTTTCATCGTCCTCCTGCTGTGGGGAGGCCAATGCTTTTTATGTCACCGGCAGCATCTCGTTAGCCTTTCTTCTTGGCAGGCCACGTTTGGGCCAGGGGCATCCATGCCTCCAAACACAGGCCTTTCCTGGCTCCCTCCTCGGCTTGTCAAAGCTTGTAGTGCCCAGCTCCTGCCGCGGGGGCCGCCTTCGTGTTTCTAGGCATCTTTCCAACCATTCCTCCAGCGCACACTCTCCCTCCTCCATGGCCAGCACAGGACTTTGGGAGAAAACTTAGTTCTACCATGGAAATCCTGTTGTATACTTCCTTCCCCTACCCTGTGTTGCCTGGAGAGATAAAAAAACACTCCAAGGAATGGTCCCGCGTCCCCTGCTCTGTCCTGGCCAGGCACTGCGCATCTCTTTCCCCAGAAGTGTGGGTGCCTTGTTGAAGGGGGATCTTATGGTTGGATTCCTTGTCCACCCTCCCTGGCAGCTCCCCAGAGGCAAAGGACTACCTTTCGTGAGAAAGGCTATGAGGGTTCCAGTGGGGACAGGGCTGTGATGACACCATCGTCTCACCATCGCTCACATGGACTGAGACTTTCTCTGCAGTCGCAGGGCTGACCCCATTTAATGCTGAGACCACCCCTCCGAATGGTTGTCATTACTGCACCCTTCTTACTGCTGAGGTGGTAGCATGCCTGGAGTGCCACAGCCAGGAGCCCCGACCTCATAGCTCGTGCTTGAGTTATCCCCCCTAGTTAGTAATATGAACACCCCCACTTCCGTTGTCTAAAGAAGTTGTTGGCGGTTCTGCCAACACACAGAGGTAGGGGATCACATCGCCTTGTGTTGTTGGGGGCTTTGGATGTAGACAGCTCTGCTCTATTCGGATAGAGCCCCTCACTCCTCCCCCTGGGGTCGGCATGCCATTGGCCAGAGCCAAGCACATTTGGTTTGTCCTCAACTGCTTTCAGTCTGAGAAACCCAAGGACACCTGGCTGCCCAACAGAAATAGAAGAGACAGCTCTAGGCAATGAACACGTGTCGTGATGCCCCACTCCATGGGGTGGCTAAATGGGACTGAGTTTTAAGTCTTATTCAAAGTCATCATGGCCCTTATACAATTTTGGTCTAGCTTAGTGAGTTTCAGTTGGTGTGCTGGGACACACTGGTGTGCCACAAGAATTTCTTAAACGTGCCATACCTATTAGATTGCCAAATAAAAAAATGACAACAACCAAAACAACAATAGCCATCTGGTGTGAATAAATCAAAATTATACCTATTTTTTTTGTCAGATTGGCAAAACTTGCTATATATTTTTTGGTGTGCCATAGAATTTTAATAATTTATGGATGCCATGAGATAAAAAAGATTGGGAATCACTGAGCTAGCTGATGGGAAAATGAATTTGACATGGTCCTGGGTCTTCCATTGCTAACTAGCATATTTTGAATCAGTATGATTTTCTCTAGGTCCTAAATCTGTTCTTGATGCCACAGACCGGTAGTGAATGAGTGGGTGGACCTTATATTAACTGTGTGGCCTTGACATAGGCTTAGGCCACCTCGCTGTGATCTCTGTTACTTAGTTTTCTATAAAAACGCCTAGGGACACCTACATTTAGAGGGTCATTGTGAAGTTTAAATGAGATAAAGTATGAAGAATGCACAGCACTCGTGTATAGCAGGTGCCCAATGAATATTACATCCTCTTAGAGATAAAGGATGGAAGAGGATAAAAATCTGGGGTGCCAAGCAGATGGCCTTTAGGGTTACACAAAATTAGGTTTGATTTTGGGTTCTACCACTGTTGCATTGCGTAACATCAATCTCTTCACCTATAAAAAGGGAAATACTTAGCTCCTAAGGTTATTGTTCATCTTAATAAGGATAATTATAATAATATATACTTTATTAATTAAATCTTAAATGCTTTCAGTATTAAGTTATTAAATCCTTATAACTAACCTGAGGTTGGATAGCTTATGGAAAATATCACAAAGGGTGTTTGTTAGCAAAGTGCTCTGTAGATGTCCTTCTTTCCCACATTTATTTTTCTCTTTGCATCCCTTTGAGTCAGAGATAAGGCGATGCCATTTGCTGATAGGGGCCCTGAGAATAGGTTTCCTCCTTGAAACGCCATGCACTAAAAAAGGGGGAAGAAATGAATTTTCGGAAATTACACGGTGTTTCCAGAAAGGTAATGGAAAATTACTCAGCATTTCCCAGCTCTCAGCTTCATTGGCTTCCACTGCAAAGCAGCTTCTGAAAGAAGCAATGTGACTGAACTTGCTCTGGAACACAGACATTGTCCGGTCCGTAGACCCCCACTTGGCTTATTGTTTGGGTCCCTCCCGGAAGCAAAACAGAACAGAGACCTCACATGGGTTGGCGGGTTGACAGCTGATTCCTGTTTTTATGTGTGTGCTCTCGTTTGCAGAGGGCTAGATTCGGGTATCTGCGAAAAGGTTGGATCCAGACAGTTTCCATCTCCTCTCTGTGTGAGAGGGATCCCACCAATGAGTCCTTTAGATATTCTATTTCCCGGCGGATAAAAACAGCAAAGCTTTCTGAAAGGCTTTGCCTGGCCTGAGACCCTGATACTTGAAACTTCATTTTCACCCTCGTCATCGCCATCCGGGCATTGAGTTCAAATATAACTTGGACTGATTTCATTGGTGTGTCTGGTATTAGAGTTAAAAAAAAAAAAAAAAAAGCCCTCTGCAAATTCTGTTTCTTAGCATTAAACTCTTGTTTTTCTTTTGATTAGGGTAAAATTCTCAACCGAAAAGGATGCTGCCCTATTTGCACTGAAAGTAAGTTTATTCCGTTGGAAAGGTGCTGTTACTGTTTATTTTGGTTTTATATGCGGCAAGAAAAGCGGTGGCGTAAGTTTTCTGCACATATTGTTCCTATTGGTATAGGCTGGGGTCCTCCCTCTTCCCTGCAAACACTTTGTCAATTACAATCCCCTCCCAGAAGCACAACTGGAATGTGTTGCTGTGGGAAATTTGGGAGATGAATGGTCTGATGAGGTCTTAAGAAGGACCAGATAACTCTGAGCAGTTTAACTGCACATCGCATTTGCAGTCCTAGTGGCTAAGGTGGCATCCAGTAAAACCAAACCGTGCGCATCATCGAGGAGGGAAGTTCCTTCCATCACTATAAAGCCAAGCAGCTGTGCTTACTTCCACCTCCCTCACCCCCATGCTCAGCTCTTGACCGTTTCACCTGGGCACATCCAAGGGTAAAACAAGAGGTCTTTGGTCTGGTGAAGGTTTGGCCATCCTAGTATTTTTTTACTAACTAGTAACTTTTTAAAATTTTAATGTGCCTTTATTGATTTTTAAAGACGGGGAGGTATAGAAACATTGGCGAGAGAGAAACATCATTGATCAGCTGTCCTCCTGCACACCCCCTATTGGGGATCAAGCCCGAAACCTGGGTCTGTGCCTTAACTAGGAATCCAACCTATGAGCTCCTGGTTCATAGGTCGACGCTCAACCACTGAGCCATGCCAGCCAGGCCTTCCTGGTATTTTTAACTGAATTCTAACATGGCCCATTCTCAGCACCATCTGAGGCTGCATTACTAACCGCACAGACCAAACTTAGCAACGGTCTGATGTCCTCCCCACGTGCAGACAGCTGCCTGGATCTATTAGCAAATTTAGTGTCTTCCTCAAATTCATACGGAGTTGAGACAGCTCTCTGAAGGGTTTCATTGAGAGAGGAGAATTAGTCATGTCACCATCAAATTAGTTTCCAAGTATGAAAAGCAGAATTAACAAAGCCATGACATCTATTAGAAACTATTTTATGAGCCGGTCGGGCTGAGAGATATGGGCTCTGTGGATGGCTGAAAGCAGTTTTCATGTGGGAACAGGTTTGTTTATTCCACTTGTCTAAAATATTTTGGACAATAGATACAGAGATTTTTCAATATCATAGTATATTATATGTAATATATACATATATATACACATGTCATGGAGTTTTGAGATGGAGAGCTATTAAATACTTATGCATTATACATTGGATAAAGTACTGATTGAGTCAATGAACATTAAATTATAGATTTAACAAAAGAACTTTTTTTAAAGCACATAAAATAACTCAAAGGAGGCCAACAAAATATGACTTAATAGATCCCCAAAATTAATGCAGAAAGAATTAGCTAGGATTAGCACACCAGTTAATTTCTTAACACATGTGGAAGCTATTATACTTCACCCTCCTCCCAGGAGCCCTCTGAGGAAACTTTGTTTACAGGTGGTTTGGGGGCTGCCTCCAGCTCAGGTCCTTTCTGGGTGAGCAGAGTGGCGTCTAAGTGGATGGTTTTCTCCGTATCCATGTCAATGAGTTGTTTGCATTTCCCTAGAGAGTATCTCCTCGTTGAAGGCGAGGCGGACTTCAAAGGAGCCCCTCGGATTTTTCTAGCGAACCTTTCAGTTTGCGTGAGCGCAGATAGGTTGCATATGCCCATCGCACCGCTTAGCAAAAACACATGGCCGGTCTGTACCGAAACAGCCAGGGTCTGGAATAACCCGGCTTTATCCTACAAGAGTCAGCGTGGTGATTACTGGGAGAGCTAGAGAAAAGCTGCATTTCATTACTGCCTTATCCGTGATGCGTTAGCCTTTCCATATTTAGCTGGGTTAGCCTTTCTATATTTAGGATCTGTGTGACTTATCAGAATAAAAGAAAGGAGAGAACTAGCAGGATGGGCATGACAAAATCAAACCAAGGTTCCAAGCAGTCGTGTTAAATATTGCGTGAAGCCTGTGAAGGAGCCCATGACCTCTGTCCCTGAGAGAGGCAGTTGGCACGAGGGAAAGCCACCCAGCTGGAGGGCACCCGGGAGATGTGAACTCTGTGCACCTGCATCAAGCAGGGCGGGGTCGGGGGGGCCATGTGGTTCTCGGTCCAGCTCTTAATGACATCATCAGATGCCTATTTCTCAGCTTCCTTCGGCACTTCTTCCATCTGTTTACTCTCTTGCGGTCCAGCAGTTCTCCCACCAGGGCTGCAAAACACATCCTATTGGGCGAAGTTTACTTGCTCAGATGGTGTTCAGAGGTGGGATGCCACCCACTTTTGTAAGCATGAGCGCATCCAGGTGGACTTGTTCTGGTGTCCTCCAGCTGTGGCCAGAGGCCGCCTGTTTTGAAATTCGCTTGTCATTATAACCAGGGTCCAGAAGAAACCTTCAGGCTTTTTTCCTCCTCCATCCGCTTGGAAAGCTCCTCTGATATGTGGGTTTCTAGAGCAAACGCCCTAGAGGCTGAAGTGAAAACTAAGGCCAGTGTTTTCTGAAAGCAGAAAATGGTTTTATTCCAACAAAATCACATGTATATGTACCCCATTAGCTACTGCAGGATTTTCAACCTCGCTCTTCCTGATAGGTCGGCCAGATACTTCTCAGTTGTGGGCCTGGCTTGTGCATTGTAGGATGTTCAGCAGCACCTCTGGTCTCTACCAACAAGATGTGGGAGCAGTCCTGTCCCCAATGCTGTGACAATCAACAGCGTCCCCAGATGTTGCCAAAGGTCCCCTAGGGGGCAACATCACCCCTGGCTGAGAGCCAATGATATTCCAAACGGGTAACAGCAGAGGTGAGTGTGGAAAGAAACACCTGCCATACTAGCAACAGTAACTCCCTCTCAACTCAGAGTGATTATGTGAGATCAGGGAGTGAGGCGAGGGTGTCCTGTTGCCAGTGTGAGCCCGGACAGACTAGAAGCCTCTGGATGCAATTGACATGTTCTGGAGTTTCATTGCCTCACCCTAGGAAAAACTATAAAGGCATAATTACACCGTGGGAACAACGTCACCATCTAGTTGCAAGGAAGCTAGACATTAATTTGCAGCCTGCCCTCAGTGGCATGCAGTTTTGACCAATGAGCTTCCTCCTGGCTTCAGGGTCTACATCTGCCCTCAGTGTTGGGAATCATCTAGTCCGCATGCCTGTCAACTACGTGCAATCCTTTATTAGACAGAGGCGGGATAAATGATCTATATATGCACATGCTCAAGTGAGATGGGTTATTGCATAGCCTCAGTACTGGATTATCTGCACTAGGTAGAGGCGTGCCAGGCACCTGCTGTCAGCAGGGGTGACACTGCAGTGTTTAAAACCCCACAGAATTCCTATTCCCGCCCTCTGACTGTGCTGGCCTGTCTTGCTAGTGCTGGGCGCTGTTCAGGCCTCTGAAAGGAACAGGAAAGAGGACAGGAAGTCGAGGTAGAACATTTCACAGGCTTCTCTCTCCAATAGTCAGAGGTAGTGGTTAACTTAGAATTCGGTAGGTAGGAAGCTGCAACTGAGACACTAACTGGTTGCCCTCCCTGGATTAGTATAGGCTTTGTAGGATTGGTCTGAGAGGGCGATGATGATGTTATTTAAAAACAACAAAAAAAGCCCTAACTGGTTTGGCTCAGGGGATAGAGCATTGGCCTGTGGACTGAAAGGTCCCAGGTTCGGTTCCGGTCAAGGGCATGTACCTTGGTTGCGGGCACATCCCTAGTAGGGAGTGTGCAGGAGGCAGCTAATCGATGTTTCTCTCTCATCGATGTTTCTAACTCTCTATCCCTCACCCTTCCTCTCTGTAAAAAATCAATAAAGTATATTAAATATATATGTATATATATATATTTTATATATATATTAATTTGTGTATATATATATATTTATTTTAAAAAAATAAATAAAAACAACAAAAAAAGAGTCCTTTTAAAATCAGACCCGAAGGAAATATGAAAAGCATCATTGGGTTCTACTAACACAGGAATTCTCCCTTTCTCCTTTCCCAACGCAAAAGAGTTACCTTGGGTTTGGATGATTTATTAAAAATAAAATACTGAAAGTGAACTGAGCAAACTTGAGGACACTTTTGTACATGTGCTGTTTCTTGCCAACGTATGAGCTGTAGCCCAAAGTGAGTCCCACTGTGCCTGGACCAGAGTCATGGGACTGAGGGTGAGTTGGCATGAAGGCCACTGTCCCTTGTGCCTCTCCCTCCTGGTTTATGTGAAATTATCTTACTGTGTGTCAGCAAACAGTGGGTGGAATCTTGACTTGACCACCCAACAGAGACTTGAAGCAGATAAATTCTTTGCTGGCAGGATATCTGTTTTCAGACATAGAAATTATACTTAGAAGCAAACTTTTCACTGATAAGAGAGGTGTGTGTATGTGTGGAGAGAGAGAGAGAGAAAGAGAAAGAGCGAGAGAGAGATATGATGGAGGGGAGGGAGAGAGAGAATGAGAAAGAATTTAATCTCAACCATCTACAAGACCAGAGGCAGCCAATGACACCCACCATGGATGCCCAGCCCCAGGTCTCCTAGGTGCATGAAGCTGTGCCTGTAGCTGTAATAGTCCCAACCATTAGTCTCCCAACCCAAAAGGAAAGTTCATGGTTACATAACACGGGGGCGGGCAGGGCTACACTGAGCACAGATGTGCGTTTAATTGAACTAACCTCAACAACACGTCCCACAAGTAACAGGAAATATCAGATTCCAGCAACTGGGGGTGCAAGGAGGCTCACAGTTGCCAGGTGACCTTCTTAAACCCCCCAAGGGTTAGTTTCCAGCTGTGTGTAGCCAGTGAGCCTGCTGTGCAGAGGGCCCCCGCCTGCTCCACGCACCCACCTGGAAGCGCCTGGCTGGTTTTGGCACATCTTACTGAAGCCTCTGGCACGGCTGCCGCTATCACCAATTAAAGAGTAGCTGCAGGAGGGGGATTGCAACAACAATTTAATGAAACAGCGACCTTGGGGCCCATTTTATGAGAAATCTCCCCTGACAGAGGT